GATTTCTATTCAAGAGTTAATTAGTAAACTTCAGTTTGCACTTCAGGTACAAACTTAATGGTGGCACAGAAGTGAGTGAACCGTTTGTTACCAGTGTGCCAGCACTACGACTTTTAAGAGTCCCTTTATGATTCTCTGTTGAAGTGAATGGATTTGTTCAGTATACTGTTCCTGTAGCAATGTGGCACCTCTGGTGCATCCCCTCCCCCAATTCTGTCATCTTGAGCAACCTGTAAAAAAATTCTTTAAAGACAGTGGGGAAGAACATGAGTATTTTGCTGGAAAGGATGAACTCGACAAATGTCAACTTTCTTACTCGCTTCTGCTTCCACCTCATCTTCCCAGGTTCTGTATTCCAGTTTCGAAGTAATACTACTAATTTCAGCTTTCCAAGTAACCCAGGAGTATTCACTTTTGGTGCAAATCCTGCACCAGCAGCTCCTGCACAGCCTTCTGGCACTTCAGGATTTTCGTTCAGCCAGACTCCAGCATTTACAGTGGGGTAAGAGACCATATCAGAATTTCACTTGAGCTTCGGGTAATATCAGTGGACAGTGTTCAGCCTCTACTGCTGTTAAATCATGAGGTGTTCAGCTGAACCTTGGAGTTTGAAACTAAATTTGGCATCCTTCCTTGTATTAGCCTGACCGGCTAACTAAGCAACGGTGTCTATAAAGGAGCCTAGTGGTCAGAGTATCACACAGCAACACATGTGAGATTGTCTTGTTCTTGAAAGGTAAAATCCGTATCCAGCCATTATGCTGCTGCTTACCTTCTGAATAAGAGAGATTTAATTGGTTCTGGTTTCTGGAACTCTCTTCCTCCTGTTCAACATTTGCCGTTTGTTGCCAGCTGGTAACTAGTGAGACAAGACTATGAAACAGTTGTTCTGGAATATCTACTCAGTGCTGCTACTGAATTTTCAGCTACACTGTCCTAAACTCTGAACTACTAATTTCTTTTGATAGGACTAATGGGAAAAATGTTTTCTCTGCCTCTGGACCTTCAGTTCCTGGTCGGAAGATAAAGATGGCAGTTAGACGTAGAAAGTAAACGCCTGATTGGTAAAGCGTCAAAAACATTGGAAGCAGCTACTACTACCCCGAATTGTTCAGCTTCTGCCCTGAATGAATTGTCCAGCTTCTACCCTGAGTTGTCCAGCTGTTACCCTGACTCGTTCAGTTACTGGGACTGTACCTCACGCTGGCTTAGCGGAAGTCAGATCTACCTAAAGGAATATAAAACTTACCTTTCCTGCCCTTCCCTTCCCTCTCCCCGTTACATTCTCTTTTGGTAGCAAGTAAAGTTGGCAACAAGGCTGTTCTCAAGCAAAAGTCTCAAGTTACTTCTTTCACTGACTTGGCATGGTCTGGCTGTAGCCCTGAGTAGAGCCTGCACAGTGAATGGCTTGTACAATACCTCTTCATCCGCACCACCACGTGCGCTCATCCGCGTTTACTGACGCCTCAAATTGTAATTATATCAGCGAGGGATGTGCTGTATAGAGTAGAGAATGTTGATAACGAATGATTTCTATGCTGAGTTTGTGCTGGTGTATGTGTGAAGTGAGTGAGTTTGGGTGTATTGTGCACTAAAATTTTCTGATAGAGGAAGACTGATTAAAGGATGATCCATGCTAAGGACTTGTTAGATCTGTAGTTCTTCATTTAATAATTATATGCTATTTCTATATTTTCATTCTTACAGCCCTTGATCACCTGTCTCGCCTTGTTATTTTATTATGAAACATGTGTAAATACAATTTTGTTTCTCTGTACCTTTTTGGCATAACAAATCTGTGAAAATGAAATTTTAATTTTGTGTGTTACAGCCATTTTTGTTTAGTACTGTCTCAGATTTTATGTAAATCTCATTATTCAAAGTTGCCTAAATCCATTTAGAAAATCTTTAAAATTGGGAATTCTTAAAGTAAGTTTATTGGCTTTTCTGATCCATTTTTGTTTGGACCAAAAACCAGTATTGTACAAAGTATTAAGTATATATTTTTATATTTACTGAAATGGACTGTGGTGACTTTGGATAATAAGGAAAAGTTTAATATTAAAGCCATGTTTATTACAGTATAATTAACATGTTAAACCATGGGATAAATGCCATCAATAAAAACTGCGAAATATTACCTGGCAGTTTCACCTGTAATGAGATGGTTCCCTCGACCTGACTAAGGTCACCTGCTTTCTTCAACCTCTGCTTTTTGACAGTGCCACCAATTTTAGAGGATCTTATGCTAGCAAGAGGTCTGCTGTTAGAAAGGAAAGTTTTACTGCAGGCTTGGATAAGTTTGGAGCCACTGCTCAATGTGTCAGCTGCCTGACTGCAGTTGACTTTTTATAGGGCTATTAAAAAAAAGTAATGTTACAAACATCCACCACTGTTCCAACTGAAGAGGAGGAGGTACACCCAACTGTAACTGAGTCACTGGGGGTTTTCCACTTCTGTAGCATTTAAAGGAGCTTCTTGGAGAACAGACATTACCTGAGTAGAATCAGAGGAAATGTTCACTCGCCTGTGGACCCACAGCTGAGCTTGTGCCAAGTCACAGCATTGTGTATGACTGAGATTTCTTTCTTCAGCTCAAGCAGAAGAGACCTGCACAGTTGTCTATGCTGTGGCTTTGCTGGGTCTGTGCTGACACTTAGCCATTCACCCACTACTCCTACAGGTGCTGCCGTTACAAAGTGAGATGTGTTCCTCAGCACCAACTGGACTTGACAGGAGGACAAAGGCCAAGTGCCCTTTTCATGGGTAGAGCTCTAGTCACTGTTTCTATAAACAGAAAATACTCAGCAACCAGACTTCAAAACTATGCACAGAAGTCACCTTGTGCCACTGTAGCTGCGAGAGGATTATATGCAATTACACATTTCCAGATGTCTGAATCTGAGAAATGCCACAGATTTCACATTTCCCCCAACAGTGTTGCTTTTCCCTTCCTCCCCTCCAGCTTGTAGTTCAATTGCTACAGTAAATAGAACAAAAGTTCTTGTTTAGTCACACTGAAATGGTGAATAGGCAAAACTCACCCTAGAAGGAGCCTGAGGTAGTTCTGAGAGCTTTAGCTTTCATCACACTGACTGCCTGACATCTGTGCTTTGGTCAGCAGTGCAATTCTTTGAAAGAAGGAGCACAAGTCTGAGGAGCTGCTGAGGGAGCTGGGGGTGTTCAGCCTGGAGGAGGCTCAGGGTGACCTTACCACTCTCTACAACTGCCTGAAAGGAGGTTGTAGCCAGGTGGGGCTTGGTCTCTTCTCCCACATAAAAAGTGGCAGGACAAAAGGAAATGGCCTCAAGTTGTGCCAGGGAAGATTTAGATCGGAAATAAGGAAAAATTTTGTCACGGAAAGGGTTGTCAAACATTGGAAGAGACTGCCTGGGGCTGATGGGAGGCACCTGCCCTGGCAGTGTTCAAAAAAGCACATGACTGTGGCACCTGGGGACATGGTTTAGTGGTGAATGTGGTGATGGTTCGAATCAATGATCTGAGAGGTCTTTTCCAACCTTAATGATCCTATGATTTGAGGAATCATTAAAGTGGAATTGCCGTTGTTCTGTTTCAGCTAAACATCTTCAAGTGCTCCAACAGCCTCAACAGGGTGCTTTACTGAGGCCTGCTTATTGCCACTTTGACTCAAACATTTTTATTTCAGTGGTGTATGTCAGTACCACTACTCTAATGCTAATGGTACATTTAAGATGCCGAAGTCTTTTGGTTTGGTAATAAATTGTTAGTGTAAAACATTAACAACCCTCAAAATTATGAGGTATTTTGGTACAGATGCACTGTCTGCTTGAACAAAGACTAAAATCGACCCAAGATGACTGACTTATTTTACTTTAAAAAAAATATTTAAAAGTAGTTATCTAAAAGGTTAGCAAGTTCTTGTGGAGAGGTCACTGATGGAAAATGTCATTCTCCCACCAAGAGACCGTGGATCTGGTCCTGAATCATCGTTCTAAATGAAGACTGACATTCATACACAGACCACCTGTCAAATGGAAATACTGCAGAACACGAACACACTGCTGACTGAGTTATTCCACACGGAGACAAGAGAGAGAACCAGGCTCAGGTATTTCTGTCAACCAAACTATTGTCTAAAACTGAAGGCAGGGCGAGAACTTCAGCCACAGAGGGAGTGGTGAGTTAGGCCTAAGGCAGGAACACACAAAAACTGGGCTCTAGGATAATTCCAAAGTCTTACTCAACATTTAATAAAACATTAACATTGTTGCTTATATTCATTTCCCAAGATACTAATAACACGAGAATAAACAAATTATCAAAGCTATGTGGTCATGCAAAATATTAGGCTTCTTTATTCAGTATTTAAGTTACTCTGAATATACAAACAATGAGCCAGAATGATAAAGTGAAAATAACCAGTATTTGTACTTCTGCAGATGGACACCTATGACACATTTCCCTTAATGTTTTCTGCATGCTCCTGAAACACATTCAGCTGTTTGGCTCTGTATTATATGCAAGGAACAGACAAGTGCTTTCACTCCAAACAGAAGCAAAAAAGTTACCTTTCATTAGCTCTGTGCTGTTCGTGGCTCCAGAATTATTTACACAGGCCAGTTCACTAACACTGCAGTGTAACATACCCTTCCCAGAGGAAAAAGCAGCTATTGTTTCACCTCTTCATTAGCTTGGACAATTGAAATATGTGACAATGCTTGAGACAATCATGCAAAAAACTTCTCACATCAACGCTGTGATAAAATACTTAAAAGGTGAGGGAATATGGTCTGTGAAGCAATAATAAAGGACATGATAACTGCTGATCTCTCTGCACACATGGCAATTTAATTAATGTGATCTGCCTTATTGTCTAATACTGCAGTTCTCTTCGCCCTTGGCATATGACAGGCAACTGCCTGGAAAACAACTCGATTTTCTAGTTACCTGTCAACATCCAAAAACTGTAGGAGCAACATTTCTTTAAAGGTGGAGTATTTCTAGGTATATCTGCTTTCCAGACTGATGAACAGAACAGCTCCTTTCCGCAGCTGCAACAGCCACTTTCTGTCTCATCAATCGGAGGTTCGCACTCCCAGAATTTGCTAAGTATTGTCTCTCCCAAACTTCTTTGGCATCTATGAAAACTCCAATACTTTGAAGGTAGCTGCTGGCATCATACAGGAGCCATACATTTTCTTTAGCTTCTGAATCACTTCCCATTGAATTTGGGCAAAAGATTCCAATAGATACCTCAATTTCAGTTCTGGGATAGGTCTTTATTTGCTGGGGTGGGAGGGGATGTTCAAAACCAGTCCAGAAATCTCATCTTTTGGTATCATCTGACTCCATTTCTTCTGACCACAATAGTTCCTGCTACAATATCATAGGCTGTTCTGTTATGCTGGAAAAACAGCAGTGTAATGAAGGCAGGAAAAAATGATGCAATAGAAAAATTCTTGATCAAAGCTCGTACTGTGGACCTGAAATGAGAATAAAACATTCAAGTGTCTCATTTTCACTTCTCTGCTTATATCAGTAGTTAACTTCAAAGTTTTGTGCCTCAGTTTTGCACAGCACAAGAGTCAATCTCCAAAGTTCAGAGATTTTACCACCTAACGTGAAAAATATTCAGTGTGATTGAATAATCACTATTTTATTCTTAGATCACAGAATCTGACAGTAGCTCTTGCAATCTAATTATTGCAAAGGTCGACAATACAGCAGTGATGTGTTTCCTCCCAGATCACATGCTTTCAACACTGTTAATCTGAAGGCAACGTGACCGAGCCAGGAGCACTTACGTTGTCATACTGACATTGGAGGATGGAATGACTAACACTCGGCTGGGTGCAATCAGCACAGATGTATCACATGTCACAACTCGCAGCCCGAGCAAGAATTTCCCTGGGGTTGCTCCACCTGCTCCCCAAATGCAGATTATCTGTAAAAGAAAGGTTATTTCAATTCCACACAACACCACGTTGTTGACAGGTCTAGCAAACTTGGTTATCCTCAGAACTATGTGAATGTCATAAGCTTCAACATAATCCAAAATACTGCGAAGAGGATTTACATTATAGGCCAATGGTGGCAGTATTTTTCACAACCACTTCTTCAACAACTGACAACTATTAATTACAGGAGTTACCTCATAGAAGCAGACTAATAACCTGTAGATGAGAGCCACTATCATCATTTTCTGCAAATCTTCCATGGACGTATCTTCATCTATTTCTTCTATGATGTAATGCATGGCAAATTTAGAGATGTCCCTGTACAAAATAAGACAACTTTAAAACCATCCTCCTCCCAACACCAATCTTACCCCTTTTATATAAGAACTCACTCCTTCAGTTCTGGTATTAGTAAAAAAACAAAAGCTTCTTGGCCTCTCTGACGCTAAACAAGCCATTAAAATTCCGAACATGAGGTTTCCTTCTGAGCTGCAAAACAACTGAGTTGTTTTGTCTTTTTCATTAAGAAAAGATCATTTTTCATTTCCACTTTTGCACAATGGTGTCCCTGAGTAGTGGGCTGCAGAACTGTTCTGAAAATTCTCACACTTCTTGGGAGGTAAACAGATCCTGCAGGTGATCATCTAACTCCATATAACATGGAATGCATCCAAGTTTTTTCCTTGTAGAAAATCTCAAAGAAAAAGAACAGACAGCACTCTTCTCTATAAAAGCAAGGGAGAAGTTGCAAGTACCCCTAAGCAAGCAGGGCAGCCCTATCCTCCCTTGCCTGGTGAGGGTTCCTGACTCAGGAGTCTTTACTGCTTACCATACTCTCCTAGGGGCAGGAACCTGGGCATGCAACAGGAAGGTTTTAAAGCAATCTAAACCTTCTGGGTTTTATCCCAAAGCAGCTATGCAAAGCATCCATTTTGAGTACATGGCATACCTTCAGAAGAAAAACTCCAGACTGAACATTCTTATCTGACACTTGCAGTGGATACACGTGTTTAGGCAAGAATTTTTCACTCACGCACCTGAGACTCATAAAAATGTGCAGTCCCACTTCAAAACACTCCATCTGCATGTGTACTGCTTGCCCTCCTCTTTATTCAGACTTAGGGATTGAAAAACACCCCAGGAATTAAGAAAATAGTCTGGCATACCCTGCATTTCCCTTCAATACAGCCTTGGCCTGAAGTGTGTGCCTTGAACCTGACAGGATGTATTTTTTTCATGACAGCTCAGCCTAACCTCAAGCTCACCACATCCCAGGGGCAGAACCCCTCGAGAACGCTTCTCCAAAGTTCCTTGTAAGCAACTTCCTGGCTCTCACACAAACAGTAACACTGAATATGCTCTAAGTTATACCTTCACTACTTTACAGAAGCAATACACATACAGTTGTGCCCCATCTTTCCAGTACTTGCATTTTGTATCATTCTCAGCCTACTAAAACCCAAATGGAAACACAAGCTGTCAGGTTACAGCTGGAGGTTTTGGCAACTAAACAGAACAGCGACTGACATTTTAACTGATGCTTATCTGAACAAAACCCACTGATCACTTATGCTGACATATTTATTGGTCTGGATTTGACCCTCTTCCACACACCTCTCAAGCTGCAATTTAAGGTCTCTGGAAGATGTTATCTGTACAGTATCACTTTACAGTCAACATTTGGGTGGCTCTTTAGCAAAAATTTGGGTTTTGAAATGTGTTTCTACAGTAATGGAATTACTAACTACACCAAGTTCTCGTTTCTTCATCAGACTGAACAAGATTATGCACATACGAAGCAGAGTCACTAAATGAGCTGAGGAACAAAATATCTACAGTTAAAGAAGCAGCTTTAAAAAAAGTCTTTGAGGTAAATGATTAAACCTGCATATAAAAATGTGGAATGAAGAGTCCTTCAGTCTAGTGTACAGTTGACACACACAATGCTTGGTCACACCTGTTAAGAACCGCAGTTTACACCCAGTAAAGCCTGCAGTGTGGTAGAGCTTCTAGCAATCAGGCTGCATTCTGTGTTTTCCAAGTACATACACAGCTGATATGCATGATCAAATTTTTTTTGCGCCTGGGTTAGCATTGTTTAGCTCAGAAAATCTAAAGCACAGCACCATGTAAGATGTTACGAAGAAAATGTACTCCATCCCAGTCAGATCCAGTGCATTTCCAAAGGCTGCTTAAGAAGACAAGTTTATTTGTCAATGTTTTTTCTTTGAAAATTTTAAAGGACTTAAAAAAAAAAATCTTACTACTGCCCCCCCCAAATAAGAGTGCAAGGCTAATCTGTCCTTAGTAAGGAGTTTGTGAGCCTATACAGCTGTACAAATTCTTTGTTTCCACCAGCTGACCCAAACCCAGGATGTATTTAAAAGGATAACCTAGTGGTGCTTTTTTCCTCAACTTCTGTCAGGTATTAAATGCCATCATATGCATAAAGCATACACCATAAATGCAACCTGAGACCTCAAATAGCACAAGGAGCTTAAGGCTGTACATGACAAAGCTTTAAGTTGTTCAACTTACTTTATTCCACTGAGGTGCATAATACTTAAAACGATGGTTGCCTTAATAAAGAACAGAATGAAAAAATCCACCATCTCTGCAATGAACCTGTGTGCCAGTGAAGGGATGAGGAACTCCCGACCTGAAACAGAAATAGTTAACATTACCCAGACTTTTCTGTACTAACAAAAAGCTAACACTGTCATCTGAAGAACACTCCACATTAACCTCTCTGCAAGAACATAATCAAGATCTTGATCTTGGCTCACACCTTCTTCAAGAAAACTTCTAAAAATGCACAAAAAAATTTTCTGAATTGAGTTAAAAACCCATTCTTAAATTAAACTCTTTCAGAACTCTGAGTCCACTCACAATTATGATTAGAGGCAAAATCATACCTTGCTAGAAAACTGAAGTACATTGAAGCTACATCAATTTTTGTGTTCTTTTGTTTAGAAGAGCCTCATAGAGAACTGATTTCAGTAAATCTGAGAGGTCAGATGAAAGAAAAATTAGATCTACCACAACTTCTCTCACTCAGCTTTACTCTCAGATTAAAACACAGCCTATTTTCTGCCCATTCCCATACACACAGGAGTGGATGAAAATGTTACTTACTAGACATAAACATTCCTACAGACTAGTTGTAATACACCACAGCATGCTGCTCCACTCCCAGCCACAAAATGCAACATGTTTCTGCTATTCAACTGGCGAAGTGCAAAAGGGCATGAAGTAAGTAGTCACAGTGACAAGCTTTTGTTGCTACCTTGGGTGATTGAAGCAAAGAGTGTCTTAGGAAGTTTACAAGAAAAAGCATTGCAAAATAATTTTATCTGGACCCACCTATCACTTTATCTTCCAAAGGCCCAACATGACTCTCACATGAAACCTGCAAGAACTCACATCAAAACTTCATTTAGAAATACCCAAGTACTACTAGTAACCTGTGGGAAATAGCGAGTAGGTTTGTTACTGCTTCTGAGAACACCCACCCTCACACACAGGGAAAGGAAAAAACAGGAAAGAAAACCATTCCTCTCTCTCCTGTCTCAAAAATCATCAAGTTTCACTTAGAATAAGCCTCCACAGTTCAGCTGCTGAGACTGTTACTGCCAGTCACAGCCTCGTGAGCTCCCCAAGCCAAGCTGGAAGTCCGCAATGCTTGGGCACTTCTTAAATGGGGCAAGCAGAATCAAGCAGTGCTTAGGTAAGAGGCTCTTATTTAACACACCTCGTTTCTTACCCGTTGCACGGATAACTCTGCACCAATAGTATCAAGCACTGTGACTGTTACGTACACAACACTAGAATGGATTCCATTCTCATTGTCAAGACATGTCCAACTTGCCAATTAAATTCTAATTAAAGATTTTTCAATTAAGGCAGAAGGGAGCATAGCCAGTCTCCCAATCCTGGCTTGAGCGCAGTGCCAGGCAAAAGCCTTCGCTTTCTCTGTTAAAAGGAACTCGTTTGTGGGACTTAGTGGCAGAGATTCATTTGAGTACATTAAACTCGATGACTGTATAAGGAAGAAGCTACGTGGGGCTGAGAAAATAAGCATTCAGACTATGTTAAACTCCATTACATTAAGAAACCTTGGCAACCCTTAGACTCTGGCAGGTTTACATTGCAGTGACTCAGGATGTTTCTGTCAGAAATCCACTGTTTTGCCAAGGGTTACTACCTGTATGGCAAGGACAGCCAAATGCCACATCCACCTCAGCTCAGAGCCTGGATCTTACGTCAAGCTGGTCCCTGTGGCACACCGTTTGCACCAGGCAGCCACGGGGCAGCTGAGGCCTGGATGTACCTTTTGCCCTACTGTTCCCAGCAGAAGGGCAGTAATCTCCTGCAGTAAGGCAGGGAGGGACAAGGCGAGGAAGTGCCTTAAACCACGACGACCATCCACAAAAGTCCTGCCAGCGCCCAGAGCGCTGTTAACGTTGGTGCTCTGACACACAGCTGCAGGGAGACTGAACTGGAGGAGGCAGGTAACAATCCCACTTTTCAACATCCCAGTTTAAAATCTGCAACACTACCACAAGCTGTCACTGATTTCGGCTTACGTAAGCGCACAGGGCTGTAAACTGCAGTGGCACAGGGAGGGATACGCGACCTGCCCTGCCAAGCCTGCTGTGTGGGCAATAATCTACAGCAGGAAAGAAGGAGCTGTAATCACTTTAGCTGTTCCAGATATATCCATCTGCAATCCGAAGCCAAAGCACCCGCACAACAGCCTTTGTTTATAATTGCATTGTATCACTGTATCGCATACAGAGCTCCCTTAAGGAGGCCAACAGTATGTAGTATTCAGGATAACCATGTTCAGCAGCACGAAACTCTATTCATGCCCTAAATTACCTTCGACATATGCAATTAGCTCCTGAAGAACTAGGTAAAAATCCAAGAATCATTTCAGTTTAGCCCTTGGTCTCTTTTTCAATGCCTGGCAGGCAGTATCTGATAAGAAATCTGCAACTCAGAGCCAGCCACCATTACAGAAAACACTACCTTCTGTTCTAACCACGTTCAAGCAACATCTGCTCAAAAACATAGCAAAGAAGCAAGTTCAGAAGCTAAACTGTCTTCCCTTCAACAGAAGGAAAATGGGACTAAAAAGCATTTTCCACACAGGCACAGCCACTGAGTTTGTAAATAACGTTACAGACCAGCAGTGTCGTACTTTGCCCTGCAGAGACACAGGAGATTTGGCTTTTCTCCAAAGCACTTCGACAGTGTCCTGCCCCACAGTCTTCCACCATGACTCAAGGTGCTACAGAGCACTCAGGGAATGTCACCCAGGCACTCCTCGACTTGTGAGGAAATGTTTGTGTCCTGGGTTTTACTTCTGAGGTGATCTGAACAAGTTTGCTCCACTCTTGAGCAAACATAAACAGCAGGACTGCTGTGTGCTGCCTTCCATGTTTACAGCTGGAACAGATTCCTGCTTATCTCGGGTCCTGATACCACCTCCTTCAATGTCAGGACGTTTTCACTTCTCTGCTTCAATTTCACTACATGATTTTATTTGATCACCAAGAGCCCACTGAAACCACTGATGTTAGTTTAGATTTCACCAGCCAAATGGGCTACCTATAAAGCTACGGCCTCATTACAAGCCTGTGACCGCAAGGGTAAGTCCCACTGGAGAAAAACCACAATCAACTCCTTCACATCCGTGAAAACATCTTACAAGCACTGAAGCTCTAACTGTGCATGCAACTTGACCCTCTCAGAGCTGCTTATCATAGGATTTCAGGGGTTGGAACGGGCCTTAGAGA